CAACAACAACTCTTGTGTGCAGCCAGTGTGGTGAAGTGGTAAAGGCTGGGGTCCTATGAACACTTATATGGGAGTACGGATGGATGAGCTGGGCCTAAATACCCTAAAGACACCAGATCCCATATGATCTGTGAAGCTATACAAGGTCAGACCTAGTTATTACTTGGATGGGAGACCACCAAGGAATACCGGGTGCTGTAGGCAAGATTTCATAGGAAGGAAATGCCAAAAACACCTCTGAGGATTTCTTGCCTAATAAAACCCTATTAAAAATTAATGGGGTCGCCACAAGTTGATGGGACACTTGGAGGCACACACACACACACACTATGCATGGATGAATCGATCTCTTTCACTTTCTATCACATTTTCATTTTTCCCCCATCACAAACTCATACTGATCCCTTTCAGCATCCTTTTGCAATTTTTTAAAAAGTCAGCCTGAACATTTTGAATGCATTCTGCCCATTGATTTCCATAATTTTCCCCTAATGTGTAAAGTTGAACTCTGTTTCCTGATAAATGCATTTTAGTGTGATGTTTCTGCAAATCTACTCATTTCATTTTTGAATTGAAGAAATATGCTACTCCCTCCAGCTGTTCTGATCTGGAAAGGACAGTCCCAATTAATCCTCTGTATTCCTGCTTTTTCAGCTGCTTTTAAAATGTCCCAGTTTCCTTCGCTTCCTCCCACTTTCTCCTTTGGTCCTTCGCTTACTTCCACTGTTGCAAACTGAGTCGCTTGGCCACGCACATCCCAATTTCTATCTGTGAAACTTTTTTGTGTGTGAAATATTACCAAGAAACTCCCCTTAGGGTTGCCATAAGCCAGAAATGACTTGAAGGCATGCAACAGCAACAACAAATAAATCGGTTAAATAAGTGCTTAAATGAAGCCTTATTAAAATAATGCATTTTGAGATCTTGAAACTGAAACACTTATAAAAGAACAGCTCATTTCCAAGGAGAACCTGATTGCCCATGAAGTGAAAGTGGCCAGTTCATTTTAGGTTTCTATATGTTTGTCAGGCAAATATCCTCCCCACTTGCCCTTGGAGGAGAAGTGAAAGTTTCAGAGTTTTTGTCTTCTAATTTTATTCCAAAAAATAACATAGACTGCAGTATAGTGAAGATTTATCAATGCAATGCAAGAAGGAGATACTTACGTATATACTCAACCATATACACCTTGGTCCCCCCCCCAACATGGTTTTCCCTTATTTAAAGGTAACTAATATAGTTATTTTTACAAGCACTTTGTAATACAAAGCAATCCTGCTTTCTGGCAAGACACATCCCCTCTCACTTTGAAATTATTCAAAGACATAGCAGTATTAATCTGTTTCAGCATTAGAAAGTTATAGAGGAATTTGCTACCAGGATTCCTTTACGTTTTTTCTAATTATAAAGGGAACAAAAAGCAAAGTTACAGTACAGAAGGCATGAAATTATCCATCCTTAGCTCAAAACTGCATTGCTTTCAATTTCTGAAGAAGAAAAAATACTGTCCTTTTTCTTAGTGCAGTTTTATTACTGAGGCTGCATCTACACTGCAGAATTAATGCAGTTTGGTTCTCACACCAGTGAGTGGATGATGGGTTTTCTTAGGCAGGAGGCCTGTCTGGCCCCTCTGGTCCACCTTAACTCCCACTGAGGCTGCCTCTACACTGCAGAATGAATGCAGTTCGAGACCGCTTTAATTGTCATGGCTCCAGCCTATGGAATTCTAGGGCTTGTAGTTTTTTGTGTGAGATATTTAGCCTTCTCTGTCAGAGCCACCACAAACTATAGATCCCAGAATTCAACAGGTTGGAGCCATGACCGTGAAAGCGGTGTCAAACTGCATTAATTCTGCAGTGTAGATGCAGCCAGTTTTGCAGAATGTCAGCAGAATGATGTTCTCCTGTGCACACCACTTATGTCCACAAGAGGGCACCATTACAGCATCTTTAATAGCAAACTTCCCTTGTAAGAAATTTGGAGAAGGCATTATTGCTAGAAATATCATTTATATTTATATCAACACACCTAACTAAAAGTAATTGGGGTCTTCTTTACCACAGTGCTAGCACCATGTAATAATAATAATAATAATGATAATAATGATAATAATGATAATAATAATAATAATGTTATTGTTTGAAACTGTTTAAACTGTTTAACCATAATAAGTAACAGGGAGGAATTATTTTTCATACACTGTGATGAGTAACAGAACAAAGTAACTTCTCCCAGTTCTGTTGAAGCCACCCATTGAGACTCAGTCTCCTTTCCTAACTTCTGCCGATTTCTTTTCCACCCGACTCTCAGGACTGATTTCGATACTTAATAGAAAACAAATGTACAGTGGGCCCTCCACATTTGTTGGGGTGAACAAATGTGAAATTGGGAAGCCCACAAATGGAAAAACTATTATTTTATTTAACCTGAGAACACCTATGTAGGACTCTCTAGGCCCTCCAGTGCAACTCTATGGTCAACATCTGCCAGATGTTGATCATAGAATTGCACTGGAGGACCTACAAATGCCTAGAGATGTGTTTTCTCTCCAAAATCTCTAGTTCCTCCATTGCAATTCTATGGTCAACATCTGGCAAAGTCATGCTGGAAGACCTAGAGATTCCTAGAGAGAGCATATTACTCCAATCCGTGAATAATCAAATCCGCAAAAGAGTTTTCTCTACAAATATCTAGGTCCTCCATTGTGACTCTGTGGTCAACTGTGTGGAGGACCTAGAGATTCCTAGAGAGACCATATTACTCAAATCCACAATAATCGAATCTGCACAAGTCAAAGCTGCAAATGTGGAGGGCTGACCGTACCTAATTTCCTTTGACAAGTGCCAAGAGGTTGACACTTGCAGAAATCCCCATAGAAACAACAACAGCATAATGAGGCACAGCAGCCATTAAAAGCAGCAGTTAATTAAAGGCAGCAAAGAATAAAAGATGCATTATAAAAGATGCTGTGGATTCATTTTTATTTCTCTATTTTATGTTATTTAAGATTTGTTAGATTTTAACAGATGTTAGTTTAACATGTTTTTATGGGGAGGGTGGGGGCTTTTAGATTGCATTGATGGAATTTTTAATTGCTGTAAGCCGCCCCGATTGTTTATAACAGGGGGCGGGGTAAAAATAAATGTTGTTGTTGTTGTTGTTGTTGTTGTTGTTGTTGTTGTTATTAGAGGACCTAAAATATTAAAGATATAGCTTCTTAAAAATAAAAAATACAGGATAGGAGCAGAAATATTGGTGGTTGCTGTTAACTGCCCTTGAGTTGATCTTGACTCATGGTGAC